GACCTTCAACACAACCAGGTTAAATTTTGCCTTTTTTTATTTATTTTTTTAAAAAAACAAAATATTTGTTTAGCTCCTCTTCCATCATCAACTTATCAATATCAACAACAACAAAAAGTTGCTTTTAGAAGAAATTTAGAAACAACAAATTCATCTTCACTTGACAATTTTTTATCAAATGAAAATTTAACAAAACAAAATGATCAATATCAAACAAAAGAAAATATTCGAAAAGTTCCATCAAATAATCGATCATCATCAAAAACTGCAATTCATCGAACAACAACAACAACAACAACAACAACTATGGAATTATTACCACCAATTATTTCTGGTAAACGTCTTCATATTCCATTGGCGAATCATCGATATTTATAAATCTAGAGTGCCTTTACTTTTTTTTTCCTTTCTTTTTATATCTCCGTCCATTATTGTCAATATTATTAACTATTTCGCGTTTTTTTTTCATTTAATCATATATTATATTAACGAGAATATATTTTTAAATAATAATTTACTTTTTTAATCAAATCTATTCGTTTACTTGCTATTATTATTCAATATAGATGATAACCATAAGATTCCATTCGATTTTCATTTCATCATTTTCTAAACTAACTAACTTTTCACTAACAATTTCTTTTTTTTTTTTGTTGATCTCTTCAGATTCTAAACTATATGAAATTCTATATAAAAAGATTCGATTTTTCTCTTTCAAATCATTTTTCTTTTGTATAAAATAGCGATATTTTAATTTGTAGAAGATATATAAAGATTTCAATGTGAAAATCTTTAAGATTATATTATTTTACTTTAAAATCATTTATGTACAATAGAATAGATAATTATCTTATCAACAAATGAATATACTTGTCAGACTGAAGAAATAAAATTTGTTTTTTACTCTAAAAAAACAATTTTCTTGAAAAGACTTATAGGTATTTGTGATAGTTATATTGATTGAGAAAATGATCGATAAATGTTTTGTTGATAAAAGTGTTTGATCTGTTGAAGATGTTTCGTTGTTAAAATGACTAATTAAATAAATTTATATAAATTGTAGTTGATTGTTAATGTTAATAATAATAACTTGTATTTGTAGGTTGTTGATAAGATCGATTGTAATAATTATAAGGTGGGGAGGATGAATCTGCCCATACATTATTTCGATTTTTATTCTTACAACAATAACAAATGATAATAATTAAAAAAATAATTGTTGCAATAGCTCCTATTATACCAATAACTATACCAATTATATTTCCAACACTTAATGCTGTATCCAATGCAGACGACATTAACAATTGAAATGAAGAAAAAAAAATTTTTTTTTTTATTTTCAATTCAAATATGAGATTGGTGACATAAATTGTTAAATAGATGATTATTGACCACCTAAGGTTTCTCGAAATATTTCAAGTGATTGTCTCTGAGAGAAAAAAAAAACGAAAGTTTATTTGATCATTAAAAAAAGAAATAAATTAAAAGCTGTTTGAGCACATAAATAGAAAAGTTTCGGAGCAAAAACAGTCCAAACAAATAAATGATAACGTTGTATTAAAATACATAATGCAAATGTACTATTTATCAATGTTATTTCAATTAAATAACGAATTCTTTCGAATTTTTTTAATTTAAATAACCAAACAATTGATAAACCATATGTTGATAAATAAATAAATATTCCATGAATTATTGGAATATATCCAGGAACACCAACAAAACCAGATGATATATCTATTGTTACAAATGAATTTGAATTTCCCTTTATTAAAAAAAAGAAAATATATATATATAGATATTATTTCAAAATAAAAACTTATTTAAATACAAACTAGATGAAAAAAAGCTGATTGACTAAATAAAAATAAAATCCGAGCATCATTTTCATAAATATATTCATAAAAAATCATATGAACAATAATTATAAAAGAATTATGTGTACGACATAATATATATAATAAACAAAACAAACATTTTTCGATTGGTAATCGATTTATAACAATTAATATTATTAATAATAGATAATAGAATAATGGTGTTAATGGAGATAACCAACTAAATTTTAAAAAAACAAAAAAACAAGACATACACAAATCATTTATCAGTTTTCACTTCCGACAAAATGCAACATCTAGACACCAATCAATTATAAATATCATCAAAATAATTCATACTTTCACCTTATTGATAACGAGATTATAGATATTTTAATAGAAAATCGCCAATTATTTGACTAAACTTGAACTTTTGCTCAGACACAAACCTTAAACAGATCGGTTTAATTATTAAAGTTAAAGATATTTTCATTGATTCTATCTTAAGATATAACTAAAGTTAAAAGGTCTAGATTTTATATCGTTTACATTCATAGGTAGATCGATCTTCTTATTTAATAATAATATATCTTAAATATTGATAATAAACTATTATCTTTCCTATCTATCTATGCTATATTTATAGTTGATTTTAGAAAAATAGGTTATCTGTTTTTTCTCAACAGAACAAAGATTTGCCGCTAACGAAATAACATTTTCTTGGAGTATCTCGATAACCATCAGCTAACAGTAGAATCTTTTTTCAGACTATTCACAATTTGTTAGAGTCTTAATGATGCATTTTGTCCCAACTAGGATCGTCAATAGTTTTTAGGAGTGGAAGGAACTAAAAATTCTCCATAAAGTGTTTTTATTCTCAGAGTGGTAGAAGTTGTGACCAGGGGAAGGGGAAAACGAAACCCATGGTGACTCGTCTTCAATCGTCTCTGTCTGAGAAGGAGATTATCTGATTGTTTCACACTCTCTCAAAGAAAAGGCAAATCATCTTTCAAAATTCAATTTTCATCTTAAATTCTTATGAATCTGTAAATAATTGTAAAAAAGTCGAAGATTTTTCCGAGTAAACTCTTGGTCCGGTCCTCTCTAATCGATAATCCTGGTTTAAACTGAAATCTGTGATAAATTAGTATGATAAGTTTGTTGATAAAATAAAATAAACAAACCCAATAAAATTCCATCGATAAATAATAGAAATAATTGGTAATAAATATGATATATTATATCTTTTTGGTTTATTTAATAAATAAATAAATATAATTGATGATATAATATGAATTAGAAATAGATAACTACGATTTTCACTCCTATTTAATAGAAAAAAATAAATAAATTGAATGAATCTATTATAAAATAAAATAATTTAAAAAAAATGTAATCTTACGCATTAAGATAATCTCCAATATCTGTTAAATGTAAGAATTTATTTCCAGTTTGATTCCAAGAACGTATTAAACGAGATAAAATAAAGCAAAGAAAATTTTGAAAAGATTTTTTTTCAATTGTTATTAATAATAAATAAGTTGATAAGAAAAAAAACCATGTTTGATGTTCTTCTTCAATAAAACTAGTTGAAAATAATGATATTATATGAAATAATGGATAATATATTAAGAATTTATTTGAAATATTATCTTCATTTTTTATTTTATAATCAATTTTTATTCTTTTATTGATTAGAATAACAATTATAGAAAAACAAATCGAACCAATACCCAAACTAATAACTAGCTTTTTCAATATTAAATAAAAAATAATAAATATAATTATTGAATAGAATGATTGTTTTTCAATATTAAACCATAATAGAATTGTACTCTAGAAAAAGAATTTCATTTTTTAAATATAATATTTTTATTTGAGAATAATAATAATAATAAATGATTTACTTACAAACGAAAAGAGTAAAATACTTAATAAAATCATATTTAAATTTTGTTGATTTGATAAAGACATTGCTTTATGACGAATTAATTCAAGATCATTTGAATTTCGAAATAAATCTTTTTCAGATAAAAGATAATATAATTGTCTTCTATTATCATCAATTAAACATTTTAATAAATTTGTTTTATTATTTGAATAATAATTTTCTAAAACATGTTGAATTAATATTCCAAGATTATTTGAAGGTATACCGATTTCAAGTAAACCAGATAATGTTGATGTTAAATCAATTTGAAGATATTGTTTAGTTTGTTTTTTAAAATATTCAAATTTATTTGATATAAATACAGATGGAACATTTATTTCAACAGATGATGAACCACCATGTCCACCTTTATCAGCCATACCATGATCACCTGTTATTATTAATATATCATTTAAATACATATTTGAATAAATTTTTTCAATTATTTTATCATATTGATTTAATTTATCTTTAATTAAATAATTAAATGCTCCATATGCATGACCAATATGATCAAGACCTAAATAATGAATTATTAATAAATTCCAATCATTCATTCGATTTAATTCTAAATAAAGACCATTTGTTACATTAATATCAATCTAAATTATTTTTATTTAAGATTTTATTTAAATTAAATAAATTAAATAAATCAAACTTGTTCATAATCTGTAACAAAAAATGATTGAAGACCTTGTGATCGAGAAAAAATTTTATCAGGAAATAATTTAATCCAAGTATCATCACCATAAAAAATTATTTTATTTGAAGGATATTTTATTTTATATTGAATTAATATATTATCTAATTCAAGTTTTGTTGAATTATAATTATAAATTAAATCCCAAAATGATGGAATTGTACCTGTTAATAATGCCTAATTTTTTTATTTATTTATTTATTTATAATAAATCTATTAAAATAATTACTTTTAATCGTGGTAGTGTTACTGTTGGAGTATGAGAACGTAATTTAACTGATATAGCTTTTCCATTTTCTTCAAGTTTTTCAATGGATTTTAAATAAAAGGAATCATTTCTATTAAATACATAATCAGAACGAAGAGCATCAATTAACATAATTATAACATGATGTTTTGATGATTCTAAACAATATTGATTTTAGTTTTGTTTTTTTTTTTAAATAAATTTTTAAAATAAAATAAAAAACCTTGAGAATCAAAACAAGATCGATTATTAATATTATTTGTTAATGATGAATATGGAAAAAGTCCTTCCATTAAAATAATAAATCCTAATAAATGAAAACATATAACCAACAATTCCGATTTCATTTTAGATTTAATTATCAATTAATTAATATTATATTCTTATTATCAACCATATTCAAAGTTGACCAACAATTTATCGTTTCATAGATGACGCCTTCTCACATCTTCAATTATCGAAAATTATCAAAACTTTTTTCAACTTTATTCATATCAGATATTTTTCTATCTCATCAAACATTATACAACTGATAGTTACACGTTGGATTTATATTTATATTCTACTTTATCGGCATTACCAATAACATTTTAGATACCACAATTATTTCAATCTATAGAGATTTACTTGAAAAAATTCTAAATTCTACTTTAAATTACAAGTAGCTCCTGTAGTTTAACATAAGTTTCTATTGAATAAAGTCCAAATGATAAAAAAAAAAGCATATTGACATTTCTATAGATCGATATCATCAGACGAATAAAATGAGATTATTCGATATAGATTTATTTCAAATGGCAGAAGAACTATTATGGAAATAGTTGAGTTTTATCAAAACTACTTCTCCTAGCTCTCCCGACAGTATCCCGAAGTTGACGGCATTGAAGATAAAGATTGATGACTCAGGAAGGTTATTGGAAGGTATTAGATTACTGACCAGAAGTCTCTGGATGTATGAAACTTCGAGTGAAGATGAATTGCTTTCCATGATATTTTCACCATAGATGCACCTTGAAAAACTGTGATCGTCAGTGCTAATCCGAGCTCGAATACAATGAGTAAAAATGAAGTTAGAGATGAAATACTGCTTTCAGTTCGGTAAACAGAATTTCTATATTTTATAGAATTTGTTAACCTGACTTATCCATTATTTCGAACTTTCATCTTGCTATGTTTCCGAATATCATTAATTTCTTCTTAAAAATTTCTATCGGAGATGTAACAAACAGCAGAGTTCAAAAGCAAGATTCAGCTAGGTTGAAAATTTCTTTAAATATAAAAATTCTGTTTACCAGACTGAAAGCAGTATTTGACCTCTAACTTCATTTTTACTCATTGTACTCGAGCTCGAATTAGTATTGATGATCACAGTTTTTCAAGATGTATCTATGGTAAAAACATCATGGAAAACGATTGATCTTCACTCGAAGTTTGTTACGTTGAGAGACTTGTGATCAGTAATGTATATTATAGTATTATATAACTATCAAATCATCGAACTAGATTTATGCAAAAGTTGTAAGAAAATACCTGTAAGATAAGACTTTCAAATAAATATATTTAACATAGATGAGAAGAAATTTCTAGAAAAAAATAAAAATAAAATGTTTTATATCTATGAAATATTCGAATAACTAAGTTAAGATATATTATTTTCGATATTTGTCTTTAATAAAAGTTGTTGACTATTGTCATCTGATAATATATTTCTATAAAGATTTTCTTTATTTTTGTCGAGTTATCAGTATTTGTTCGGATTGTTAATATTATCTATAGACTTGTTATTTTAGTCATCTAAATTGATAGTTATCATTGTCAATACCATCAATAGTGAACATTCAATTTTTAAATCAATAACTATTTTTCGTTAATAATTACTCGAATAAGAATTATTAATTAAATCGTTATTGATTAACGATAAGTAAATATTGAAACAAGAAAAATCTAAAAAATACATTAGACTAATATATAAAAAAACATTGAAGACAAGCGAAGTAAGAGGTATATATTAAATGAGTTATCGTCATTTAAAATAGTGTTAATTGTAGGGGATCCTGCTTCGAATATGATCAAAGTGATAAAAGATAAAAAATAAATATATTATTTGATAAGAATAGAAAAGAGCAGATAGATGAATTTAAGATAGAAGAACTATAATTCGAATAAATATATTCGAAAGATAATTTATATAATTGAATAAATTTTCATTTAATTAACTCGAAAAAAAAAGTTTATTCAATATGTAATTTTTCTAATATTTATTGGATAATGAGATAGAAAAATGTTTTATCTTTACAATTTATTTTCAATAAAATATTTATAACTGAAAATCAATCAAAAAATAAAAATATTTGAAAAAGTAAAACAAGTTAAGTGTAAGTTAACATAATAATGGATACTCTATGATTGTTATTGTTCTATAATTAATATTTATGTTAAATCGAATCGTTTAAATAAAAAATAAAAAATAATTAAATGTCTTATATAATTAAAAATTGTATAGAGTTGAATTCTATTCAATTTTGATTTCTAATAATGATGATAATCATTTATAATATTGTACAAGCACTTGATTTAGTTGTTGTCTTTTTGGTATTATTTTTATAATGACTACATGTAGGTTTATGATGATGAAGACCAATCTCTTGAATTTCTTTATAATCTGTTTTACATTCTGAACAATATTCATATTTACACATTGAACATATTTTATAATGAGAATTTCGATCTATTTCATTAATATATTTACATTTGGGACATTGTTTTTGAGCATTTTCAATAGCTTGTTGTTCTTGTTGTTGATCATATTGTTGACATGTAAGACCTTTATGCCATTTAAGATGATGTCGAGCACATGTTTGTCGTTTGCATAAAAGACATGTTACCATTGGAGAAGAATTTTCAGTTAAAACATGAAATTGTCCTGAACCACATTGTTCATGAGCACACCAAATAAATTCGGTCTTTCGTTCCTGAGTATGACTCTTTGAATTATCATCAGAATTTTCAACCGATTCAATTTTATTAAGAGTCTCATTGATTTGATCAATTTCTTTTAGATTTAATTTTGCCGTACAGTTTGGTTCTGGACAAGTCATATTAATATTAGACGAATTTTCAAGTCGAGATTTAGCATTTTTATAAATACATTTATCACAGATGGTACGTTCAACATGTCGACAATCATTATTAAATCGTTCATGAAATTGATCGAGTGATTGTTCTATTCGACACATTGGACATTTTCTTGTTGGTACCAATATTTGACTAATTTAACAAGATAAATTTATCTTATTTATATCAAGAAAAATAGAACATTTTAATCATAGTTAAATATATTTATCTTTTTAAATCAACTATTTTATAAAGAATGAAAAATTTATTTCAATTTCGAATATCGTCTATCTGACGAAAGATCATTTTCTATATTAATATATATTTATATTTGATCCATACGATTTTCTTATTATATTAATTATTGTCAACTTTTTACTTTCTCAATTCTTGAAAAAAAACAACAGAATAAATATTTTTGTTAGTTATTCTACATATTATTTTGTTTTTTTAATGGAGAAGAACTTCTACACAATAAAATCATTCGTAAAAGATTTTTTTAACTTACTTTTGATGAATATTCTTATTGTTTCTCAAAATTTCTTCCATATATTTCCTGTATGTGCGTTTCAACGTCGCTATTTCTTCATCGAGTTGAGCTTTCTGAAATAAAAAAAGAACATCGATAGAATATTCCAAGTGCATATCTATACAATACAGAATTGATAAAAACTAACAAAATATTTAATTGCTCAAACTTCTTCATTTATGTAAATAGTTATAGATTATATTTATGCTATATAGATTAAGATCCTATTACTGAGATAATCAGTGTATTATTATTCACTAAATCTAAGATTTATTGAAAATCGTAGAAATAACTCTCTCATTCAATTGAAAAAAAAACATATTAATCAACAAATTTGACTAATTTGGTAATGTTCGATGAAAACTGTCTTTCTAGAAAACTGCTCGTATGTCATTTGTATGAGTAATGGTATCTATTATGTGTATTTGATTAGAAATATAATATCTAACTATGAATATAAAGAGAAAAAATGTCGATCTTTGTTTGGATTTTAGTTGAAACTGTATGAATATATGAATATGAATATACATTTTCAGGCCATAATTGTGTTCGTTGAGTTAATTGTTCGCAAAAGATAAGGGCATTTTGCCATGCTGCAAGTGCATGCATTGTGCGACCAGCTAAATAATCTTTTTTAGCTTGTTCATCAATGGCAATTATTGCTCGATGAAGATAAGAAAATGACCATGCTTGAGGTTCCCAAATGTGTGAACGTTGTGAACAAGCTGTTGGTGTTCTACCTGTTCCTAATTTTCTTGATGAATATACTAAATTAAACAATACAAAATTAATTATTTATAAAAATAGTATCAATCTCTATCGGTCATCGATTTTTTTTTCTTTCACTCAATATCGATTGTTAAACTTTGTTACGAATTCTACGTTGTTATTCTTAAAATTTAATATTTATAAATAAATAAATTGCTAATTACCACCAATTTGATCAGATTCTTCGTTGAGATCAAGATAAATTGGTTTTACTCTTGGTGTACGTTGATAATAGATTGATCGTGCACTTAAGATTCTTTTTGTAGTTGTGCTTATTGCTGATTGATCTAAATTAATAAAAAAAAAAATATATTTTTTATTTAATTAACTATAAAAATCGAATTACTTCGACTCCTTGCTGTTCTACAACGTATTCGTACACTGTCAGTATCAACATCGTCTAGAAAATATGGATATCGTTTATTTAATCGTCTATCAGGAGGTAATGGATTATTAAAATTTCCATTATTGGTAAATAATTGCCAGTCGGTCAATCGTGCTTTTTTACTTCTCGCTGATTTCGATGTCATTATGGATTGATGTTAACACAACTCAACAAAATTCAATTATGTTAGATTTCGTCTGTTCGTTTTTTTTTTGTTAATGTTCTGTAAATTCTTTTTCGACTATTTTATAAAATATGGTGACAATACATCTATTAACAAAAAAAAATGTTCTTTTCAACAACAACTTTACAAATCTCATTTAAATGATCGATGAATTTTTTTTTTGTTTCGACAAGATTGTAGAAAAAAAAATCGACATGATCATTGATCTTTTATCTTGAATTTTCTTTCTTTTATTTTTATTTCATTCGTATGACTTAGAAATCTAAATAAAACATTTATCAAATGTCTTTTCAGATGTTTCATTATCGAACGAATTAGTAAATCTTATTTTAAATAATTATTATTCAACAATTATCATTTCAAATTGGACATGACTAAATCATCAATTAATTACGTTCAAAGAAATTTTTCAATTTTGTCAATTATTGAATAAAGAACTTTAGATTTTAAATAAATAATAATCATGCACACTAATATTGAAACTTAACACCAAAATAATGATAGATGAAATCAAATACACTAATCGAATATAATATTATCTTTGATATTTTTATACAATTGATCATTCATATGAGAAAATGTTAAACTCTACAATCTATTTAATCATTTTATCAATCTATTCAAACTCTCATTTTGTCAATATATTTAAATATACTAACTAGACTTGTTTTCAATAGATCTTATCAAATATACGATTCAAACTATCAAACGATGATAAAACTTCGTCGAAACATTTATCAGTCATGATCAGTATGACTCGCACAGTGGGCAACTTTCCCATACCAGGCGGACATGTAACTTTCTTGCTTGAAAATCGTCTTTTACAGCTCAGAAGTGGTTATATATCACTTAGAAAGTCTTCTTTAACGAAATAAATCACTTTTTGAAAGAACAACATTTTTTGCCAAAAAACACCTGTGGGGGGCCTCAGCCAAAGTTTTCGAAAAAATTATTTTGTTAGCAAATATTTTCTGTCGTACATTAATCGACGTAGTTTTACGCGCTGATTCCGAATATCACCTTGATTTTTCGCTAAGATGCTATTTTAAGGGCAAAAAAGGAACATTAGGTCGGCATCATGGTTTTTTGGAGATCTATTATCCAGTCTACGGACACTGATGCGATACGGCACACATAGCCGACGATAAACTAACATGGAGGTATACAATTAATAAGAACTTGGGTTGAATCAGACGAAAACTGTTTGTAGCGTTCGAAAAATACGAGATGGCTTAGGTTTTTGAAGCTTTTCCTTAATAAAGGTCAAAAAACGGCTTTTACTATACATCGGTAGATGCAGTTCGACGAGCTGATTCTAAATATCACCTTAGTTTTGTGCCACAATATTATGGTAATCGGAAAAACAGGAATTCCTAGGCAAAAACCTGGATTTTTAGAAGACCTCTAGCACAGTCTGCGTTCGTCAGCGTGCAGTTATGCTAAGGCCAACGATAGATTACATATAGAAGAATAATCGGTATCAATTTGAGGTCAATCAAATTTAAACTCTTTGTAGCATTTGCAAAATATAGCACGGTCAATTTGTGGGCCTATTTTTAGCGCGGTAATCAATTTTTTTCTTTTTCAATTTGAGTTCAATCAAAACCATTTTGTTACCACAACGAATCCCATAGAGCAATTATTCGTTTCTGATAGTTTTCCTTTTTAAATATTTTCGTTAAGTTAGTCGCAGAATTAACTTTCTCTATAGATAGTGGTTTATGAACAAATTTATAAAAATGGAGTTTTCCAGAGTTCTCTTCAATTTCCGAAAGTTTTATTTCAAGGCAAGATAGATTATTCTTAGATGTATTTATTCCAATATTTAAACTTTGAAAAAGAATACTTTCGTTCATGTCCGTCTGGTTACCCACCGTGTGTGAAGCAAACTTACTGCGTCGAACCATGGTAGGTGAGGAGTCTCTTCTTGCCACCTATACTGTAGTTGAGGACTTTCGACTCATTTATTTGTAATAGAAACCAAGACTCATCATCTATCATCACATTCCATTGGTGCCGTATTCCTTCTTCAAATTTTTCTAAATTTTGTTTGCATACTCGAACTCATTCTGCTCATTGAAAATCGATCAGATGTTTGGGTATACAACGAGCGAAAATTTTCGTTAGCTTTAAATGATCGAAGATGATTCGGTGAATGGTGCCGTAACTTAGACCAATTTGCCCTTCCGCCTCTTCTATTGTAATATAAAGATCATCATCGATAAGACAGTGTACCTGTTCAATATTTTTAGATGTTGTTATAGTGACAGGCTTACTTCATCTTCAACTTTTTTTCGACCTTTACGAAACCATTTAGACCATCTTTCAAATGTTCTAAGAGAACGAGCTTGATCACTGTGAACAAAATAGAATTTATCATGAATAATGCTTGGTTGAATGTTAAGTGTGATACGCACTTTAATGTAGAAGCGAAAGTTTTCCGTATTTATCTGAAACAGGTGAACAATGTTAAAGTTTAGCCTAACTTTATTTTTTTGACTTTCGGGAAAATGTACGAATAAACTACACATACGCACAAAACAAACAAGATAAATGTCTTAATATATATGTATGCATGAACAGGTAGGCATTAGACGCAACGAGAAAAAAAATGAAAGAAAAGAAAAGAAGAACAAAGAAAAAAACAAAAAGAGAATATACATGGATAGGAATATGATCTTATGTTATAGTCAAGTTTCACACAAAAACAATTCTTATCGAAATTTTATTTTTATGGTATTTGCTGAAGAGTGATCAAGTAGCACAGAAATATAGAGTATTGTCTTCTCTATCACTACATAAAAAAAGAAAATTTCTTCAAACTTTCTATACGAAAATAAAGTGATGGTGTGACTACTTTTTTGGACTGTTCTAAATAAATAATTAACCCTTTATATCCT